GTAAGGTTTCTGCTGAAAAATCTGCTGAAAGCCTGATGGGGCTTCCATTATAGGTTATTCTCTTCTGCTTTGCTGCCCTTAATATTTTTTCTTTATCGTTGACTTTTGCCAGCTTTACTAATACATGCCTTGGAGAAGGTCTTTTTACATTGATGTAATTAGGAGTCCTGTTGGCTTCTTTTACATGTAATTCTAGCTCCGTCTCCACGTTTGGGAAGTTCTCAATTATTATTTCTTTGAACAAGCTCTCTGCTCCTTTTTCCCTTTCTTCTCCCTCTGGACTACCTATAATCCTTATGCTGCATTTCCTAATTGAGTCAGATATTTCTCGGAGAATTTCTTCATTTCTTTTTAGTCTAAGTTCTCTTCCCTCCTCCATCTGAAGCATTTCTGTCTTCCTAGCCTCCAGATTGCTAATTCTGTCCTCCATATTATCAGCCCTATTGTTTAAGGACTCCAGACTTTTCTTTATCTCATCCATTGTGTTTTTCATCTCTAACAATTCTGTTTGGTTTTTCTTTATAGTTTTGATCTCTTTTGTGAAGAATTCCCTCTGTTCAGTAATTTGGTTTCTGATTTCATTGAACTGTCTTTCAGAATTCTCTTGTAGCTCATTAAGTTTTCTTATGATGGCTATCTTGTATTCTTTGTCATTTAGACCATAGATTTCCGTGCCTTCAGAATTGGTTTCTGGGTGTTTGTCTTTTTCCTTCTGGTCTGGAGTATTAATAAATTTCTTTATACCATTTGATGGAGTGTATTTGTGCCGGTGCATAGTGATAGTTTCTGGATGTGGGTTCCGCCTGCTGCCACTGGAGGGGGGCAGGAGCTGTGTAATCCGAGCCCACTGCTGTGATCCCTGTCAGATGTGCCTGTCCAAGCCTGGGTCACTCCTTGGGATCGCAGTGGCCCTGTGGGGTCTCCCACCAAATGGGAAAGTAGTCATGTGGGGGGCTCAGGGCCACTTCCACCTGCTCCCACAGACCCTGGGGGTTGCGCTCCCTGCTTCTGGGCCACAGCAGTACTATGGGTGTTCACAGCAGCCTGGAGCTTGTTTGCCTGGACTGGGATCTCAGCAGCCCTCTGCTCCTAGGTCACACCAGCCATTGTACTTGGTGGGCGGGACTTCCCTTCCGGGACTGAGAAAAAGCCACTCCCTGGGACCGGGTGGGATTGTGGATTCTCCCACCAGATGAGAGTGTGGTCACATGGGAGCTCAAGGCTACTGCCACCTGCTCTCACAGTCCTGCAGAGACACGCTTCCCCACTTTGGGGCCACAGCAGTACTATGGGTGTTTACAGCAGCCGGGAGCTTGTTCACCTGGACTGGGATCTCAGCCGCCTTCTGCTCCTAGGTCACACTAGCTGTTGTGCTTGCTGGGTGGGAGCTCCCGTCTGGGACCGAGCCAGCCACTTCCTGGGGCTGAGTGGGATTGCGGTTTCTCCCACTAGATGAAAGAGTGATCACAAAGGGGCTCAGGGCCACTGCCGCCCACTCTCACAGTCCCACTGAGACACACTTCCCCCCTTTGGGGCCGCAGCAGTACGATGGGTGTTCATGGCAGCTGGGAGCTTGTTTGCCTGAGCAGCAGCTCAGCTGCCCTCTGCTCCTAAGCAGCACTGGCCTTTGTGCTTGGCGGGCGGGGCTTCTCCACTGGGTCCAAGTCTATGCCACTCTCTGTGGGCTGTGTGGCCCTGAGGGCTCCCCCACTAGACGGGAAAGTGATCACATGGTGGGCTTAGGGCTGCTGTCACCTGTTTCCACAGTTGCACTGAGGTACGCTCCCACCCTTGGGGCCACAGCGGTGCTATGATCTCTCCAGCCAGGAAGGTAGTCGCACACGTGTGCTGGGCTGCCTGGGGTCCAGAGTGTGCTCACCTGTCTCTACCACCTCCTCGAGGTGGGGGTAGTCCATCCACCTTCAGATATATAGCTGCTCGGGTTTCTCAGACATCCTGATGTGCTGTGTGGGTATCCTCTGCTGATCGATGAATGTCCTTTTAGTTGTAGTTCAAAGGGGGAGAGACACAGGGAACAGCTCACTCCGCCATGTTGCTAATGTCACTCCTCTCATTATACACATTTTTATAGGTGGGGATTGCCTCTGGGCCTGTGTTGCCACCTAAACAAGAAAAACCTAATAAGGAATATGAGAAGTAGTTCTTAGTCTGTATTGTATTATGAAAAAATAAATAATCACAATCAAAAACTAAACATAGAGCCTTATGGCTATTTCCACATTTTCAGTGTTGCATATACTGCGTATACCTGGGTTCTCGTCAGAGCTGTTGACATCAGAACAGCACATGGGAAGCAGGCTGCCCTCAGGTAATGCCTAGGGGAGATGAGCCACAGTAGCATCGCCTGTGGCATTTTCCAGTAAATGTGCTCCAGACACTTGCTTGACATTTATTATGAAGTAGAGATACATGGGAGGGAAGGTTCTAGAGGTGGAGAAGCCTTTGACCAAGCAAAGACCAAATCACCACTCCTAGTTTCTAGATAAGCCTTGGAGGGCTTTGCCATTTATAAATAGAGTCTATAGGATGTTGTCTGGTCTCTTCCTTTGCCGTTCATGCATGTCAAGTGACCCAGGACTTTCTTCATGTTTCACATGCCTTCTCCAGGTGAGTGGTTTTATGGTAGAGCACAGGGAATACTGTCCATTAATTTGGCAAATTCTCTTTCATTTCTTACTCATTCAGACAACAAATATTTACTGAGAACCCACTCTGCTCAAGGCATTGTTCTGGGCACTGGACATCCAGCAAAAAAGAAGACAGACCATGCCCCTGCCCTCGTGAAGCCCACATTCTAGTGGAGGAAACAGACAGACCTGGGAGGGGGGATAATTTTTTCAGTTGTGGAGTTTACTTTCCTCAATTAGCTTCCAAGCATAAGGCAGAAATCAAGTCGGGAGGTCATAGACTTCATGTAAAACATGTCTGCTACAAGACCAGGTAAAAATTCCTTTTACAAAAATCAGCTTCTGAAATCTTGAAGCTGGAAGTCCATACAAGTTTCTTACCAGACCCAGGGCTTCTCCCAACCGCTAGCCCAATCTCAAGCACTTACTTCCACCTAGTGACTTATAGACGCAAATTGGCGTGTTCTCTGCCTTTCTCTAAGTTCTGGGGCTGTAGCTACATGATACCACACATCAATATCAATGGTTTTCAAACACTTTTATTCACAGCTCACAGTCAGAAGTATTATATTGTGATCCAGTGACTATTACATATATGGATGGATGTAGATATGTAGATATATATGAAATATATACTTTTGTTTCAAGTGTACATAGATACGTGTATAGACACATGTACACACATACATATCTATGTACACTCGAAACAAAAGTTTCACGTATCAATACTTATCCTTACTTTGTGTAGTTCAGAGTATTTGCTATTCTATTTTGATTTTAACAATGCTAGTCATGATCTCCTAAACTGATTTCATGGCCCATAAAAACCTGTAGTTTTTAAAAAGTGGGTCTTGATAACAACTAAAAAAAATCCAGTCCCAAATCTGAGATGCTTCTAAGTAACCATGTGTTTGGGAATATGAGAAAGGTTTTGGATTTGTATTTAAATTTTTCAAACACTTCTGAAAACTATTAACAGCCTCAGTCTTTAGATAGATTATATAAAAATCCCACATCTCTCACCATGCTCTCCAGAGGGAACCTAAAGCACCACAATTTGCCGTAATTTTGATCTTGATCGTAACACCTAAGCCACGCTGCAGGTTAGGGGAATATACAGGGCCCTACTCTGTGTTATGAGCCTGGGCTACTGCAGGTGATTACACAGCTAGCAGGTTATCCTTAAGCAGCGAAGACTTGTCACTCCATCTCTCCGGCTGTCAATTCTTCATTGCTTGGTCATCGTCTCACTAGCACATACAAACTCAATGGCCCACGATTACCTGGGCAACTCTGAAAAGTTTTGGTTAGTGCTGACCTGTTGGGAAAACTGAAACTTGGAAGTGAGATTCCCACTTCCAACTTACCACCATGTCCCAGACCAGCATTCAGCAGTTTTCTTATTGCGTATTCAGTATAATTGTTCACATTCACCGAGCACATACTACCCACTCTCAACCACTGCCAAGTCCTCAGGAAGTTATTTACATTTTCTGTGCTAATGGCAGGATGAGACCCAAACAAATTAATAAAGCACATGCTGACATTTCCCCTATCACACACAGCTACTTCCAGCCAGCGCCTGGGTTAATAATTAGAGATTTGGTCTCCTCAGCCCACTCCCATTCTTACTCCTTTTGGTAGGAAAGGGGTTTGCTGGGGCCAGAGGCTGGAGGGGTGGGATCTAGCACCCCTACCCGGCTGGTACAAACTTGAGATTTAGTTTATCCGCAGCCTCCCCTTCTCCACCCATAATTGGAAAGTGTCTCTTGAGAGACTTGTGAGCGTGTGGAAACAGTGCTAAAGCACGCTCCTAATGGAAGAGCCCAGTGTTCAACTTTCAGGAATTGCACTAGTTGGTTTTTAAACCATGACATCAGCCATGGTGGGAACACTCAGACCATGGAAATTGGCAAATGCTACAGATCAAAGTCTCCATGTCCCCACCTCCAGGCTGGATGTTAATTTGTCAGCACACTACTGCTAGACCAGTTGTGGAGGGCTCTGAGCACCCTGGGAGTCTTCTGATACGGGGTTGATGGGGGTGCAGGGACTAGTCCAGGTTTGCAATGCTGATCACTCCTCTCCCCTCTGTCCCAATGGGAGCTGACATATCCATCTGCCTATCTCCTCCCAGACCAGAAAAGAAGTCGGACCAGCCCATGTGTGAGGAACACGAAGAGGAGCGCATCAACATCTACTGTCTGAACTGTGAAGTGCCCACCTGCTCTCTGTGCAAGGTCTTTGGGGCACACAAGGATTGCCAGGTGGCTCCCCTTACTCATGTGTTCCAGAGGCAGAAGGTAACAGAGCTCCTCAAGCCCCTCCTCCACAGCCCTTTCCAAGTGCTTGTGTGATGGACTCCCAGCCTCCGAAGGAGGAAGGCCCCAGCCATGCAGGGTCACTGGGGCCCTGAGGCTAGGCAGGCGTGGAGGGTGGAGTGGGAAGGGACGCTGCGTAAACGTGGCCATACGCTTGATTCTCTGGAGGATAGTGGGGAGGGCAAGAGAGGGAAGGGATGCGGAGGGTCAGGAAGAGGGGTGGAGGGGAAGAGTGGCTGTTTTTGTGCCCTTTGGAGGTTGCTGAAGACAAGCAATGTTATGGGACCCAGTCCGAGCTCAAGCTGCTCAAACATTATTTGAAGTTCAGACTACAGATAAGAAAAGGATAACTTTTTACTCCAATCACAGAATATTTTTCTTCGTTCACCGATGAAAAGTTCCTTTTGACCCCTGCCCCCCAAGGCCTTTTCTCCCCCACTCCTAGTGGGTGAGAGTACAATGAATGGCATTTCATTAAAGAACAACTTTAAAATATTTCCTTGTGCTGGCCCTCAAGGCTAGGTTAAACTGGCCTCCTAGCCTTTCAGCCTAGGTCAGTTGCTGCAAGTCCTCCTTCGAGTGTGGCGCATGCCCCGACTCCAGGGCCTCAGCCTCATCCGCCTCATTCTGACCAAATACAGCATACCACCCAGTTTATCACTAACTTGCCAACCTGGTTTCACCTGTGGAGAAGTAGGAACTTATCCATTTGATGCAGGTAAACCTGGAGTTGTGTGCTCAAAGGGACGCGGCCACTCTAGGCACCTAGAATGTGAGCAGCTGCGCATCTCAGCTTCTTTCTGTTAGAATCATAGATTCCACATCTGGTCAGTGTTTTACTGTGAGGATCAGAGCCAGAATTAAATTTGGAAGCCAAACTTTTGGGCAACTCCAGTTACAACCAGTGAGTACTAACTGGTAAAGAAGCAGGATTTAGCAAGATATCTATAACATTTATTCATTTTACCATCCACTTATGATTTATTCCCCCTTTTCCTTCCCCCCGTCCCCCAAGTCATAGCCTGTTAGAATTGAATAGCACCAGTTTCACACTATTTCCCTCGGAGCCCTGGGGACTCACGTGGGATGGACAGAGGACAGATTGGCAGGACTTGCACCTCGCTCCTGTTTGGCCAAAGCAGCTTCACTTTTATCTATTAGGAGTCCATATCAGCCTCCACTTGAAGAAAGGCTTCTGCAGCTTTAAAATGTTTTACAATCACTATTCTGGTCCAACCTCCTCACTTTATATGTGAGAAAATTAGGGTCCAATTGATTACATGTTTTGCCCACCATCATAGAGAAGTTAAAGGCAGAGTTGGACCACGCATGTAGGTCTCCTGAGTCCCCATTAGTGCCCCCTGGTGCTCCATAGGCTGACCTTGGGAAGGGGTTAAGTATAAACAATGGAATCTCTTCGAGTCAAAAGAGTGAGAAGAATTTCAAGTTGAAATTTTTCCCCTAGAACCAGTCGAATGTTGCAGTTTCAAGTTTGTAATGACTTAGTGTAGTATGTGAATATTTGCGTGCACCTAGGACATAGAAAGTGCATAATAAGCATATGTTGATTAAGTGAATAAATGAATATTTATTATAAATATTTCCCTAGTAAAACTGATCCTGAGCTGCACTAGGCAAATAATTCGTTTTGAGTCCCTGATATTGCATATTGAACTCCATTCCGTTTATAAACAATATTTAGAATTCTTTAGCTTGAATATGCTATTCTCTATCTGTGGCCTATAATTCAGCATTCTTAATATTTTTAGCAAGGCCACAGTTCCATTAAAAATTTGATGAAAACTATGAAACCTCTTCCCAGACAAATGCATTTATATACACATCCATACAAAATTTTATTGACAAGATCAGGAGGTTCACAGGCTCACTGTTACTCCTTAGGGGTTCCATGGACCCTAGGTTAAGAGCCCATGAGGACACTATTTCGATTAATCCACAATCAGTGCTGACTAGAAAACCCCTAAGATCTTGCATCCGTCTTTTCTCTTCATTAGTCCGAGCTCAGTGATGGCATTGCTGTCCTTGTGGGAAGCAATGACCGAGTCCAGGGAGTGATCAGCCAGTTGGAGGACACCTGTAAAACTATCGAGGTAAGTTGAGTGACTCCAAGGGAGTGTAAACCGAGCCCAAAATCCTAGGGTTCTCTGTCTTCCTCAACACCACACCAGAAACACCCATTCTTTCCTTATACAAGGACCTCCTTCCTGATATGTCTCTAAAATATTCACCTCCTGTCACAGGAAGAGAAGTTACCACATGAGTCAACAAGGCAGATTTTACCACTTTTACTAGAGTGGTTTTTACATGTGTTGTTCTGTCTTGGTCAACACGTTTTGAAAGATTAGCTACCAGAAAAATCAATACCCAGTAATGAAAATGAGTGTTGTCCACCATCATAGCTCAGTTTCTTTGTGGAAATCCAAATGGTCATAAGAAATGCTAGTTAGTGCTTTGGAAAGTTATGTGCAAATTTGAGCAGCGTATCTGTGTTCTGACAGTGGGGCTGCAAAGCGGCCAGCAGGAGGAGAAAGACTGTTCAGTAGGGACTGTTCTCAGGGAGAGAACGGTTCAGTAGCTGGGAGCTCATTGAGGCCGGAGTTCTGGCTCCTTCATCTCCATTTGCCCTCTGCCTGACCCAGTGCCTGGGATACAATAATCACTCAATAAAAACTTGATAGACAAATGGATGAATGACTGGCTGGTTAGCTCACACTTAGGTATGGCATGTAAGAAATATTGTGAATCCACTTTTTCTCAACATTAAATATAAACTGTGTAAGTGCTGAAGCCTAAAGAGATTTAGCTATGCAGCAGATATCTTTTTAAAAATTGAAGATTCACAGGCTAGTTAAGCCATGCTGCATAGGGGACAGGTGTGAGACCTCTGTTTGAGTCCAGGTCCCTGGCTCTGTAAACTGCTCTAAGCTTTGGAGTTGTTTTTTCACTGGGACCTCAGGTGCAGAGTGTTGAAGCACTGTCCTGCTCAGTTCATGGCGTATTGTCCTCATTGCTGTGGCCCCTCTTGTTATCTATTTATTTCCTTTTATCCTCATTTCCTACTCCTGTTCTCTTCTCTGTGAATAGCCACTCTAACATGTTTCATGTTCCGTTTACCCATATTCTTATAAAATGTGTATTGTTTTATATGCATTCTTTTTTTACAAATGGTATTGTGTGGTATTTCTCATTCTGCTTCTTTTTTTAAATTAAGCATTATGTTTTTAAGATCCATTCACAAGTGCATTCAATCTCTGTAAAATGGGACAATCATAGTACCCACTTACAGAGTTACTGTGAGGAATTAAATAAGCATCAGCAAAATGCTCAGCACAGTGCCTGGCATTGGGAAGTACCCGATAAATGCCCTAATATTATGATTTTACCATTAGAAAGGCAAATTCTATCAAAAGTCAAAGGCCGGTTCCTAGACGATGACTTCAAGACGTTGACCATAATCATCCCAGTTTAGATTTACACATCACTGACATCCATCTCCCTCTTCTCCATACTCACATTCCTGAAAAGATCCATGATAAATCTGGGATCTATTTATAGAAGGAAAGCTTTCTTTTGGTGAAGATCCCAAAGAGATTCCAAAATGGACAATATAAACTTTTTTATTTTTATTTATTTACTGTAAAGGCCAAATACAGCTTCATCATTAAGCCGTGAATCAGCACTCCAGTGCAGGACGCGCTGAGGCTGGCGTGTATTAATAGGAGTGTGCTGCTTGTGGGCGAGTGAAGTAATCTCTATACTCGTCTCTGGTCAGGCCCTCATCAGAGACCTCTGTTGGGGGAACAGGCTTGCTGTTGGGGACATTGAGGCTGGAGAGCACAAGCAGAAGGAAAGTCCTGTGGGTCTCATTTGGCCTCGAGCAAATATAGACCGCTGGGGCTCCATTTAGTCAGCATCCGAGGACACTGGGAGGGCGCGGAGAAATTTGACAACCGGTCTTCTTCATAGAGGAGGTCGGGGAGCAACAGGCAGCAGCTGTTTTTTCTTTCACTGAGAACAAGACAAGAAGGAACAGGTTTGAGGTTGTCAGCAGAAGGGATTTAGTGCAGATATCAGGAAGAACTTAAGCAATGAAGGTCAGGATTATTACCCCTATTATTCCTGATACAAACATTCGTCAAACATGACACACTTGTTTACAAGCATTTTCATAGGTTACTAGAGGACTGCGTGTAATTATCCCCTGCAAGGCTTCAAGATGAGACTGCAAATCTGCAGGAGCTTTAAAAGTGTCCGTACCTTTTACTGGTTTATTTCACTTCTGGGATTTTTACCTTCAGGAAATAAAATGAAAAAGCAGTATATAAACAGTATAGAAAGTATATATTCATAAATTACTCCCATATACATTCCTAGGGGGAAAAATGCCCAAAACCAAAAGATTACAAGCAGTGAAGAGTGGGACTGCAGGTGATTTTCAAGGCCTTCCTTATATATTCCTATAATTCACATTTTTCTAAAGCGAGCCTGATTTTTTTTTTTTTTTTTGCTGAGGAAGATTCGCCCTGAGCTAACATCTGTGCCAGTCTTCCTCTATTTTGTATGTGGGATGCCGCCACAGCATGGCCACTGATGAGTGGTGTAGGTCTGTACCCAGGAACTGAACCTGGGCCACTAGAGCGAAGTGTGCCGAACTTAACCACTAGGCCACAGGGCCGGCCCTGAGCCTGACATTTTTAATAACCAGTAAAATAAATAAAGAATGAATGAATATGGCTTATATAAGCACAGTTCTTTCATATCAGTTTAGGTGGCTCATCTGGAAATGTAGGGATTGGCTCAGAGCCCTGGGGAGGTCGCTGATTTTATGATTCCTACTCAGTGCAGATATGCTCCATTTGAAGAGGTCCTGAGGACAGAGACACTGCCACCAATGGCCACACCATGTGCCTGTCGTCACTAAGATGGTCTCCCATAGAGCCAGGCCCATATCAGTGGGCAAAACTCCAGAGGCTCACTTGGCTCCAGCCTGCGAGGCAGCACATAGTGAAGCACACTGGGTCCTGGGCTTGGAGTGAAATGGTCCTACCTTGCCAAGCAGGTGAATTCTGTACCAGGGTCAGGGTCACAGAGCTCTTGCGTCTCCTGTGCCGCCTGGGGTTGTGGTTTTCCTTTCTGGCTTTGCTCACCACCTGCCTGGAAACATTTTCTGAGAAGCTGTTGGTGGTTCCCAGCCAGGGGGTGGGGAGCTGTTGTTAAAGAATCCTCTCTTCTGATTGGTGAAGAACCCCTTAGGGATGAGAAATGGAGTAGCCGCTAGAGTGGGCACTATCCTTCCTAGTTACCTCACCTTTTCCCACTCGGGCCCCTGACACCTGCCGTCTGGTAGTAGTGCCCGTTCTTTGCACATGTCTAATTCTGTCCCTAATCATGTAATGTCTTGCAGGGCTGGCTGGGCAGACACCTGGCCCGGGACCAGCTCTGGAGAGCTGCTGAGCTTAGATCAGTGACACTGCGGGCTCCTTGTTATCCTTTAAAAATAACGTGTGCAGTTGATATGTGTTTGCAGTGATGATGAGAGTGGCTGTGAGGACTACAGTCACAAAAGGGCAGTCTGGACTGTGTCAAAGGGGAGTGGCGTTTTCCCTCGTTGCTGTTGGCTGATGGTAGGTGAAGGAGCCTTGGGTCTTTTGAGCCCTCCTGGGTGAATGTGGCTCAGTCCCCAGAGCTCTGGATTGCAAGTTGCTGGAGGGCCTCTGGGCTATTCTAGATGAGCCCGGCATGGTCTTTCTAGGCCTGGAGATATTCTGAGATGAGCTGGAACTGAGTAGAGGGGCTGCTGCTGAGAGTAGAGAGGTACACTGCCCCAGGAGCTCTCTGCTTCCAGAAGAATGTGCTTGACTTTCATTCCTCATCCCTAGAAAACGTAACCTCCCTCTTGTAGTCTTTATAAATGGCACTTATCCTATGTCACTGGATACCCAAGAGAGCAGGCTATTAATACTGGCCCTCCCGAGGCAGCAGGCGGGCAGGCCTAGAAATAATCCTGTTTTGTATGGATGTCTGTCTAGGGGAAACGCTACAAGGTGAATAATAAATATTTGATCTTGAGCATTTCCAATATCTCAAAAATGACAACTTTAATAAAATCCTCCAATGATTTTACAATGAAAACAAATCCATTGTATTTCCAAAATAGTAATTTTACCCAAACAGCTTTGAGACATTGTCCATGCAGTTACAAATATGAAGTATAAATATAATAAGAATCATTTTAATAAACATGCCAGAATTTTTAAGGCAATATAACATATGCTTAAAAGAACAGATTTCAGAGTTTGAATTTTAGCTCTGCCACTTACCTATATGAACTTGGGCAAGTTCTTTAAGCTCTCTGTTGTTCAACTTCCTCAATGGTACAGTGGGGTTAATAAAAGCTTTTTCACAGTATTGTTATGGTAACTAAGTTGGGTTGAGAGGCACCTACCAGGGGCTCTATAAGTGTCACCTCATATCATCCTCACAGTCAGCTTGAAAAGATCACACTCATTCTGGGCCGGCCCCGTGGCTTAGCGGTTAAGTGTGTGCGCTCCGCTGCTGGCGGCCCGGGTTCAGATCCCGGGCGCGCACCGA